CTAATTTTTGGTTTTGTAGCAACTAATTTCAGTCGCTTGTAGCACCCTCTCCTCATCGTGGACCCTCATTACGGTATAATCTCCCAAGGACCCGTCCCCGTGAGTTTGCAGCACAATTCATGTAACTGCTGGACTAAATTTCAATGCATGTAGGACCTGATCCGCCGTCGTTTCCTATCGCAGGCCCTCCAGCGTATGCGTTGTCTGCTATGCCACCTGCTTCCTCGCTTGCTCCTATGGCCCCGTCCCAACTCTCGCCTCTCGCCAGCGCGACTTCAGTTGCAGGCTTTGACATGACGAATCGCCCTGCAACCGAGACCACAAAAACTCACTGGCTTATCAATAATACCAACTGCCTCGATCAGTTTGACGTACCGAATGCCGTCAACTCACCCTGGACCAACCAACTCTCCTACCAGTCCCTGCGCATCGTCTCTCGCGGTCGTTTGGTTGTCTCGAAGAGGACCGAATTGCGACTGCGTCTCTGGCGAGCTCAGTATCCTGACGTGCCGCTGTGGTTTTTTGCCGCTCGCTGCCTCTCCAGAGGACTCGATTGGAGAGTGTTCGTTAGTCAGTACGACCTCGTCGGTCCCAACCCTGCCCACTCCATCCCTCGGCCCTCCTATCTCGATGATGCACATCTCCCACTGGCCAACAGGGACCTTCAGCAATACGAGCATCGCGTCCGGGCCCTTCTTCAACTTCCATATGCCCGGCGTCTTCTTTCTATGGGCGGCATACTCTGGCGGATCGCATTGCACTATGGGCCTGCGAGTCTTATTTCTGCTGCACTGTCTGGTCCGTCTACAGACGCTTGCATGCATCTCCGTGCCGACCGCGTTGGCTCGGACATAGATGACACTGTGACTCCAGATGCCATCGCCCTGCTGCTAGGCACCACTCGCACAGGTCATAGTTTATGGCCTCCGGTGGACATCTTTGACAGGTACCAGTTTTGGCAAGGAGAGTGGTCCCCTAAATGGGAGGAGTGGTTCAATGGGCGTATCGCCGGCATTCATCACCACATGCAGCATTCATTACTGAATCGTACCGAAAAGTTGCCGGATTTATTCCTCAGTCGCACAGAGTGGAGTCATGCACATCGTCGACATACGGCGGTTTCATTTAAAAGCTCTACAGTAGCCGGGACCGACGCTCATGCAGCGAGGTTATGCGAAGAGGTTGACCAGTTGTATCCACCAACGGAATCTTATGTAGCCTTAGTTTAGAAGTCGTTATTTCGTTCATACCCACGACTCACTCGCTTCTTCATTTATTTTTCCACCTTGCATAGTATAAATCACTCATTTATTTTTTCCACTTTGTGTAGTATAAATCACTAACGTACAACCTACGGAAGTCGTTATTTCGTTCATATCCTCGACTCACTCGTTTCTTCATTTATTTTTCCACCTTGCATAGTATAAATCACTAACGACTATGCACAAAGATGCCACACCCAGTCAGAACGCTCAACCATGTATATATACAAAATATCTGATTTAGGCTAGCAGTACTAGTATATCTTAATTGTCATAGAACGATCAACTAGCCTACTCTGTCGTAATACGATCAGACTTGACGTATTTCAGTCATCAAAGTATGGGAACTCATGTAAACGCTATATGTTGACATTGAAGCTATTCTTGGCCGTCTGTGAAATTGCGCTGTGACAGCATTGTCGATCATTATGTAATGAAATTAGACTTGTGGATCCAATGTGGATCATTAACTAGTCAGCTTTAAGTGTTACGCTTTTATATTGTTGTTGGTCAAATTCTACCAACTGCCGATCGCCAACGATTGGTAACCCGTCGAACGTCAACGTTCGAACTTCATAGCATTTAACTGGCCTCTAGTTGGTAATTTCCAACTAGTTGTCCTCGAACACACGGAAACGTTTCACAGAACCCTTGACACAATCCCCAGTGCATACATCCACCGTCGAACGCCAACGTTTGACAGTCGCGTAATCACACTCGAAATCCTCACACTCCCGTCGTGCACGCATCGACCGTTGAACGCCAACGTTTGACAGTCGCCTGATTATACTCGAAATCCTCACACTCCCATCGTGTACGCATCCACTATCGAACGCCAACGTTTGATAGTCGGACCAACGATGTACCCCAAGCTCATACGATTATATAGGATTTTCGTATATAGGTTTGGGTACAGTTAGGGTTTTTTTGACCCCCAAGGGTCCCAAAACATAAATGACTCGGACATCAAATAGATTTTTGCAATGTATAATGAATAAAAATGCAATATATCACTGATAAAAAATCAGGATTACAGTGTAATAATTTATAGGGTCAAAATAGAAATAGGTTTCAAACTTGTGAAAAAATATCTTTTGGTGGGCTGGTACATATCATAGAGGGTATCGATAGGATGGATATGAGCCAACAATTAAGAAAAACGGCGGTTGGATTGTAGAGATATGTTCAAAATACCGATATTTGAGCCAACCTCCCATATCACAATAATGCTGACCTCCGGAAGGTCTGGGACCATTCCCAATCGATTCACAGGCCTCAAATACCTTAGGATCAATGTTTGCAGTATCGGTATTGAGGTGAAATACCGGGATAGTGACATACATGAGGTCAGGAGGAGGAGGAGGACCTTGTATATCTCAGGAACACGATTTTTCCAGGCAATTCTGGCTTTACCATCGTGTTCAGAGGGCTAAATAGCCCCCAGGAAAAATGCTTTTGAAGGACAGGCTAGTCATATGAAGTCTAGAAAAATCGATCTTTGGGTGGGGCAGCATGACCTGGGTGGACAACTTTGGAACATGATTTTTAGAGCGAAATCCGGCTCGACCAACGTGTTCAGATGGTCAAATAACCTCTAGAACGAGTCCTACATAAAGCCAAGCAAGCCATATGAAGGCTGAAAAAATCGATCTTTGAGTGGGGGGTGGATGACAGGGGCAGCCAACTTTGGAACATGATTTTTAGAGCCAAATCCGGCTCGACCAACGTGTTCAGATGGTCCAATAACCTCTAGAACGAGTCCTACCTAAAGCCAAGCAAGCCATATGAAAGCTGAAAAAATCGATCTTTGGGTGGGGGAGCATGACCTGGGTGGACAACTTATAGGGTCAAAATAGAAATAGGTTTCAAACTTGTGAAAAAATATCTTTTGGCGGGCTGGTACATATCATAGAGGGTATCGATAGGATGGATATGAGCCAACAATTAAGAAAAACGGCGGTTGGATTGTGGAGATATGTTCAAAATACCGATATTTGAGCCAACCTCCCATATCACGATAATGCTGACCTCCGGAAGGTCTGGGACCATTCCCAATCGATTCACAGGCCTCAAATACCTTAGGATCAATGTTTGCAGTATCGGTATTGAGGTGAAATACCGGGATAGTGACATACATGAGGTCAGGAGGAGGAGGAGGACCTTGTATATCTCAGGAACACGATTTTTCCAGGCAATTCTGGCTTTACCATCGTGTTCAGAGGGCTCAATAGCCCCCAGGAAAAATGCTTTTGAAGGACAGGCTAGTCATATGAAGTCTAGAAAAATCGATCTTTGGGTGGGGCAGCATGACCTGGGTGGACAACTTTGGAACATGATTTTTAGAGCGAAATCCGGCTCGACCAACGTGTTCAGATGGTCAAATAACCTCTAGAACGAGTCCTACATAAAGCCAAGCAAGCCATATGAAGGCTGAAAAAATCGATCTTTGAGTGGGGGGTGGATGACAGGGGCAGCCAACTTTGGAACATGATTTTTAGAGCCAAATCCGGCTCGACCAACGTGTTCAGATGGTCCAATAACCTCTAGAATGAGTCCTACCTAAAGCCAAGCAAGCCATATGAAAGCTGAAAAAATCGATCTTTGGGTGGGGGAGCATGACCTGGGTGGACAACTTTGGAACATGATTTTTAGAGCGAAATCCGGCTCGACCAACGTCTTTGTATGGTCCAATAACCTCTGGAATGAGTCCTATCTAAAGATATGCAAGCCATATGAAGGCTGAAAAAATCGATCTTTGGGTGGGGGTGGATGACAGGGGCAGCCAACTTTGGAACATGGTTTTTAGAGCCAAATCCGGCTCGACCAACGTCTTTGTATGGTCCAATAACCTCTAGAATGAGTCCTACATAAAGACAAGCAAGCCATATGAAGGCTGAAAAAATCGATCTTTGGGTGGGGGAGCATGGCATGGGTGGACATCTTTGGAACATGATTTTTAGAGCGAAATACGGCTCGACCAACGTGTTCAGATGGTCCAATAACCTCTATAATGAGTCCTAGCTACAGCCAAGCAAGCCATATGAAGGCTGCAAAAATCGATCTTTGGGTGGGGGAGTATGACAGGGGTGGTAGTCAACTTTGGAACATGATTTTTAGAGGCAAATCTGGCATCACCAACGTGTTTGTATGGTCCAATAACATCTAGAACGAGTCCTACTTAAAGATAAGCAAGCCATATGATGGCTGAAAAGATCGATCTTTGGGTGGGGGAGCATGGCATGGGTGGACATCTTTGGAACATGATTTTTAGAGCGAAGTCCGGCTTGAACAACGTGTTCAGATGGTCAAATGCCCTCTAGAATGAGTCTTACCTGAAGCCAGGCAAGTCGTATAGAGGCTGAAAAATTGATCTTTGGCTGGGACGCTATGATAGAGACATCTGGTATCACCAGTATAGGTATAGTACATCGCAAATTTACAGACATAGAAGCCACAGATATGTTCCTATGGTCATAGTAAGTGAGAGGAGGCTGGAACTATTGTCATGGTATTCTGGCATATCTATATGTTCTGTTGTGTGATCTGCCCTATATACTGTAGTGAGATTCTGTATGCTTTATAAGGGCCAGGTTGAAGTATAACCATTTGATGACTGTTCAAGTATGGTGAACTACTTGGTTTTTAAGGATGGCTTCTTCTTTGCTGGTATTGTCAGCTGTCGTAGGTTGGTTGTTCACTTTGTGCGCACCGGCAGGGATGGAGGTGCTATTACCACCCCACAGTATATTCCATCCACATCATCCGGAGATTCTTGCTGGCATGGGTTACTTGTCGTGTGAACGACACATCTGACACTATTGTGATTCATGAAATTTCGTGTATTGTGTTTGCTGCCCGTGGTCGAGTGTAATTTACAAGACAATAGAGGTACAATTCTGGGACTGGCAACGTGAAATTCCTTTCTTTGGTAGTTGTCTGCGTGGCCGACGTAGCTTATCCTGTTGTGTATCGTCCTCCTGCTCAGCCATTCTGCTGCCTTCTATCGATGTCGACCGTTCCTCGATATGTCGATCCATATGTGGCCTATGAGGCGTTCTATGCTTCACAGTCCATGATTCCTGGGGATTCCAATCCAGGATGCCGGAGTTCACGATTCGCTGTAGCATATCAAATCTGTCTTCCTCCTCGTGAATCTCATCCTCTTCAAATATATCGTGTGCAGTGCTGATTGCTTCATTAGTGGGGACGTGGTGCACCACATCCGCTTGGGCTGGCAAATGATCAGGTACTGGACTTGTGGTAGCACATATGATACATTTTCCACCGGAATTCTGGACATTGCCAGTGGATGTGTCCACCTGAATAGTCGCAAAATCTACCTTCTGCTTGCTACCTGCAAGTGTCATGAACATGAACATAGGGGTCAAGCAAATGTACCCATGACGCTGCACAACTCGCTTTCTTGGCCTGCCCTGTCGTCCTTTATTTGTTTCAACATGATCCCTGTTTGGACCCACAATCCCAGTCCAGAATCTTGGACTTCATGATTTCCTCTTGAATGTCGCTGACATTGTGTTCCTCCAGCAGACTGTATGTATGTGCTGTACTCAAGTCTGAGATTGCCCCAGCATCCTAGAGTCCACACATCATATTCCCGTCACTTTACTGTCCCTGTCTTCATAGCCTCCGAATTTCTTTATCCATTCCATCCCATTGTTCAGCTCCATGAAACTTGGGCCTTGACATGATTAGGGTCCGCACGAATCTGTTAATCGATCCTAGGTATGACATGACATTATCCTGGTGCTTGTATCTTGCAACCCCATTGTTTGCTGATCTGCTGATCCGATCATTCTTATTTATACAAGACAGATCATCGCTCCAACACTGGGAGACCCATTTTCTTTGGCCGCTCGACCTTCTGTATATCGTCCTGGTTTCCACATTAACCTTCATGTCTATCCGACCTTCAATTATTAGCCGTGCATCCGATGCAGAGGGTAGAAGAGCATTACCTCCCATGCATAGTGGTCACCCTAAGCTGTGGAAACTCAGGCGATGCACGTTATTGGAATGTATGTTTCGCTCTGGCACCTGGCAGCGGTTTTCACTTGCTCAGTAGTAACTCGTCCCTCACAGGGGTCTACCATGCCGATGAAGACTCTGATGGCTCAACCAACGGTACCCTGATCTATGAAATCGTGCTCTTCATAGGCAGGGGGTGGACTAACGGAAGCGGGTAACATTCACGGGTTTGCATCCTGCGCTTCATGCTAGGGTCCCAAGGTTTGAAATAAAATTGTGTTGATGAAAAATGGATGGCATTAGGTTAGTTAGGTTAGTTTGGATCGTCGCCCCTGACGGCACCCTGATCTACGAAATCGTGCTCTTCGTAGGCAGGGGGTGGACTAATGGAAGCAGGTAACATTCATGGGTTTGCATCCTGCGCTTCATGCTAGGGTCCCAAGGTTTGAAATAAAATTGTGTTGATGAAAAATGGATGGCATTAGGTTAGTTAGGTTAGTTTGGATCGTCGCCACTGACAGCACCCTGATCTATGAAATCGTGCTCTTCATAGGCAGGGGGTGGACTAATGGAAGCGGTTAACATTCACAGGTTTGCATCCTGTGCTTCATGCCCGCAAGCCAACGACAAAGGGGGCCATGGTTGCCTTGCAATTGAGTTGTATTGCATGTGGCAGCAGTTCTGAATCTATCTGGGATTGTCACGCCAAAGAATGAAACCATTAGCTGCCATTCAGGTTCATCTGGTATATGAGCACTTGGACAGCGGTTTTGCGTTCCCAAGTTCGTGCAATGGTGGGGCCAAGGTGCTATTCACAAAAATTATCAATACAGTACATCCACATCCATCGCTCATTCCGCAATATCTTCCAGTGGGGTCATGGGAAATGGTCTCTGTGAACGTGGTGGAGGGGGGACTCTCTTGTTTTTCTTGGCCATGGTCATTTTCTTCTGAATTTCCCGCCGCTTCTGTCTCTCTGTCTTTCTCCGCAGATTGCCATCAGCGTCGAAGGGTTGAGAGTCCATGAGGTCAGCTGCAAATATGCGTTTACCCTTGATCAGCTTCATCGTGCGGCGTGCTCTTGGGGCCCTCTTCTGACTCTCGCCTCCCCTTCCAATACAATCAATCTTGTAGAATGTGGGATTAGTCATGAACACAATGGCATTGTTCTTTTGCATCCACACTCTTGCACCGCTCGCAGGAAGACAGTGAAGATCCGAAAATACCTCGCGTAATCCTTGTTTCAGCAACTCTTGCTGATCCTCATCCATTGCCTTCATCGTCCTGTGAAATTCTGCGATGTATCCATCTCCCTCCCACAGCCCAGACCACTGAGTATTGTCCTTATGGGCGGCATCAGGGTCGGGAAAGAACAGAGTGCACCTGTCCAGGAAGGGCCTCGACTTCGGGCCCATGCGACCAGGAGTGATGCCCATACTGTCATGCAGTCCGGCATTGCATGCTTCGAATGTGACTGCAGCAAGAGTGTCATCGATGCTAGTGATCGTCCAGCACTTCATGGCCTCCTGAAGTGAGTTTGGATGGGGTCTGATGCCCTTGAAGATTTCGGGCGTGAGCATCAACCACATGTGCCTGGTGAACATGACCACCAAACGTCCGACGGAGAGTTGAGTGTCGGATAATCTGGGCGACCACATCCAGGGTCTCATGATCATTGCAGGCGAGTTGGCAATGGCTGCCTTGAGTCGAGTCCATGTTGGTGTGCGACCAAGAGGATAATCCTCCAGTTCCGACTCGGTGCTTTGCCATGCGTCCATTCTTCTCACTGCCCGGTCCCTTTGAGCCTTTGCATTTACGCCCATGAGGGCCAGTACATGCACGTCATCAATTTGCTGCACCTCATCCAGGCAGGTGTCGCTATTGATATCGAAGTCCTGCAAGAAAAACATTCCTGCGGTTTCGAGGATGTTTCTGTACTCGAGGAGGGCAAGAGATTCGCGGACATGAGAGTCGTAGACGATAGGAGTTGATGTGGTAGAGCGAAGCATGTGGTTGAGCACTCCAGTGAGAACGCCAAGATTTGGTGGATTCTTTTTGACGATGGATATCTGGGTCCTCTGAATCTCCCGTACCCGTCTCCTCAGAAGCTCGAACCAGATCTTAGATGGGATCCACAGGACTGGATCTGATTTCAGGTATTCTCTGGCCTGCATGACAAGAATCGCCCAAGTCATTCTACAGTCGATGATGATTGGAGTGTGTGTCACTGACCTTCTCTTCCACATTTTCCAGGATGATTCTGGCTGCATGTCCGCTCACCCTATACTCATCCCTGACACCATATGTTTTCTCCTTGCAACCCTCGACGACCTTGGCGATTTCGGTGCATTCAGCCATGTATGATGGGGACAGCTTATAGGCGTCACTGTCGGATGCGAAATTCACTTGGTTGCTGTTCGTTCGAATCGACTCATAGTATAGGTTGTAGGTGCTCCTGAATGCGATGTGCGTCTGCTGGGATCTCTCCTGTTGCATCTCGGCCTGCAGCGCTCCATATCTAGACAGCGTGTTGTGATGATGTATCTCCCCTCTTTTGTAGCCTCCTGTTCCAAATGATGCTTCCAGCGCGTCTAAGCGCCACACTCCTACGAGTGGGACGTTCGGAGAGTGGGGCGTGAATGAGACTCCCACATCTACCAGCAGTTCACCATGACTCCGGCTCATCATGTATTCCCAGTCAAGGTCAGACAGGTTGCGACGCAGGGCCTCTTCCGGTCCTGAGAAACGCCCTCTCTGGCCATCCTTTGTGAGTAGCTTGATTCCCTTTCCTTCCAGAATGAAGAAAGATGACCCATACATGCTGAGCTCAGGTCCTCCATCACGTATGCGAGCTTCCATGCGTTTCTGCACATCCAAAAAGTCATCATCTGAAAGGGGGATGGTCTTAGGAGGTCCCCATCCACCCCTCCTCCCGTCCGCACCTCTGGCCTTGTAACGCGCCTCCTCCAATGTGTGTTTCAGGTAGGGCGCCCAGCTGACATCGGTGCACTGTCCAATCGATGGAAGCAGTACCCTATCCCAGAATATATCCAAGACCTCCTTTGGCATCAGAGTGATTCTCCGACCGTTTGTTGGGTGCTCATGAATCATCCTCGGGAATGCAATGTATAGATTGAGTGTCGATGAAGCTGATGATATGCGCCCCATACAGACGTGAGGGATGGCAGACATGGGAAATCGTTTTGACAGCCATTCCATCCTCCCACCAGGTGCATTTGCATCTTCTTCTGACTGCGGTATGGTGATCTCGACATAGGTGTGATTGTGCTTGTATATGCCTGGTTTCGTTTGAAATGGAGGGACGACGTAAACACCCACAGACCCCTTGCATCGGAACACCTTTGTTGTCCATATGATGCTGTCTATGTCCACCGAGATCTCTATCTCATCTTCCGAGAGTGCAATAGCATCTCGTTCCAGATCAACATACAAGGCGGGACCATCGCCATAACGATCACTGATGCAGCCGCGCACAAAGGCATTGTGTCCAAACCTACATTCATCCTGCAGTGTGGGATCATAGTGGGCGGAGTCATGAGTTCAGATGAGAGAGTATTTCTACATCCGTGACCTTGTGCGCTGTTCTTCATGATCAGATCCTCGTCGCTTCAGCTTATGCACCTGTCACACGATCCGGAACTTGATTTGAAGGATCATGGGAGTCTGTTGTGCCGATAGGCATGATATGGTCCATGGTTGCTGTGGGGTCACATTGATAGAATATGTGAAATGAACTCGGTGTGATGCGGTAGCCGTAATCGACCCAGTCTAACCAAGCAGTGGAGATCTGCATTCCTCCAGCATGGAATGTCATTGTCGTATCA